ATTCAACCTAGTTTGTGGCAGCCACAAAAACAAAGTTTCTGGAGTATAACAATGACTTTCCAAGTAACTACCACACAATTAAACAGGAAACAACTATTAACAGATTTTTTTTTTCAAATTTTGTTACATAGTGTAATCAGCCCAAGTCAGTCTATCTAATGGTAGAGGACAATAGGGCCAGCAGTCTATAGGGCTACAGGTTTCCCATCTTTTCAATGTCGCAAATGGAAGCCAGCGCAGATTGTAATCCTATGTCATTGACATTAAATGTGAATTGAAACCACCAGTCCAAACCCCGGCTTTGTATTCAGTGCATGTCACTCAGAACACCAGCTGGTGGGATGTGTTATTGTCATAAATGGATCAGCGTGAAGGATGGCATATGTCGCCATTATTGATTGTGGCAAATGAAACGCCATATCGCAAATCCATTTAATAGAGCTGCGAGCCATTTGCTGTCAGTCTGCTCTGCTTCTGAGCCAGCCGAGTGGAAGGCAGTTTAGGGGAGAAATACTATTCTGGAAAGAAGAAGACGAGGGAGAAGGAGCACGCTTTTTCCGATTTCATGCTTCCAAGGCACTCCTCCACCAACCTCACTCTCTCTATATATATCTTTCCTACTTTTATTAACAAGGCAGTTGGCTTAAATCATGGTAGGCATGACAGATAATTAAAAGATTGCAATTGCGAGAGATCAATCGCCTCCTGAAATCTCTCGGGTGCCTATTCCCTTTGGCTCTCATTATCTCCAATCTCGCATGCTGTCCATTATGATCTACTCACAAAATGCCCGTCATTGTGAAGCCATAGATGGAGGGAAGCTGGCCCAAGATATGTTGCTATCTGAAGCAGAGCATGGAAAGGACACCCTTCTCCCAATTCTATGCAGATAGTGATGTTTGCATTTTGTCATCTCCTGATCGGCACAGAAAGGCGAGCTCCATAACTCTCTTTGATGTTGTTGTCACTAGCCATTAAATCAACACCGGGAAACAGCAGCAACAAGTAGCTATTTACTGTGTTAATATATTATTATTATCATGTTAAAACCAAGGAGAGGAGAGACTCATGGGACTGTTTACATTTCTACAGGTATTGACTCATGAGGTTGTTTACATTTATATATGTACTAGCTGTCCCCTGGCACATGTTGCTGTGGCACAGTCTGTTGATCTGGAAAATAAAGCCATTAGAAAGTTTTGGTTTCTAATATATGTAATTTTTTATGCTTGTGGGTAAACAGTATTTCTTGCTGTTTCTTTGACAGTGTTGATGTGGAGATTGACTGGTTTGCCTACTCTGGAGCATGCAACATATAATTGTCCTTCTTTAAGGGTCCCTTTCAAATCTATGATACTATATCTGTGTGTGTGTGAATCATATATATCTATCTACCTATATCTATAGCTATATCTATATCTATATGTAGCTGGATGCCTCTTTGTCAGGAGGGCTTTGATTACGTTTCTTGCCCAGGTGAAGGGAATTGGACTGGATGGCCTTAAGTATTTTCTGTTGGTCATGGAGGTTCTGTGTGGGAAGTTTGCCCAATTCTGTCATTGGTGGGGTTCAGAGTGCGCTTTGATTGTAGGTGAACTATAAATCCCAGTAATTAGAACTCTCAAATGTCAGGGTCTAGTTTCCCCAAACTCCATCATAATTGGCCATATGGAATATTCGTGCCAAGTTTGGTCCAGATCCATCTTTGTTTGAGTCCACAGTGCTCTCTGGATGTAGGTGAACTACAACTCCCAAACTCAAGGTCAATGCCCATCAAACCCTTCTAGTATTTTCTGTTGGTAATGGGAGTTCTGTGTGCCACGTTTGGTTCAATCCCATTATTGGTGTTTAGATTGCTCTTTGATTGTAGGTGAACTATACATCCCAGCAACTACAACTCCCAAATGACAATATCAATTTTTTTAGTGATAGTCACTCATTGGCCTAGTAGGTGTCTTGTGGCCAAATTTGGCAGCAATTTGTTCAGTGTTTTTTGAGTTATGTTAATCCCACAAAAAAACATTACATTTTTATGTATATAGATTGCCAGCCTTGCTTACTTGGTTCAGAACATTGAGTTGGGTCCAGGTTCTTACACACTGAAAAAGATCAACATCTAGTAGGCCCTCTACAATAGATGTCATGAAAAGTACTATCTCAGTGTCCTTCTAAATGACGTAAATTGAGAGCCTGAAACTTTTGTTAAGGTAGCAACCATCACCCTACGAAGTATCTAGTTCCACTGCTCTTCCCATGTAGATGTCTCTGTTGATGTTCAACCAAAACTAACACTACTGGAACAAAAGCCAATTATGAGATCTATTCTGAAGAGAGCCATGTGTCTGTCTCCATGTTTCTCTTTGTGTTTGCACCAATGTTGGTAGGAATCTTGCTGTAACATCACACTTGGGTAAAACAAATAATTGTGCAAGAAATTACATTATCTTTGATGTGACTGAGCTCTTGGCTATTGATGGTCATTGTGTGGTTGTTGGCACAATATGGGATCCAATGCCATCGCACTGGTGTACTTTAAGCTAAACTAAAGGCGCATATGATCTAGCTCATTGCCTATAGGTCAATGGGTTGGATATTGCAGTTTGTTGTGTCTTCCTCTTCTGCCTCGGAGGAGGAGTTGGAAGAGGAGAAGGTTGAGTGGAAGGAGCTGGAGAGACTGGACTAGACCTTCTCGAGAGGAAGAAGAAAAAGAGAGAGGCATGCTGGTTGTTCCTACGTTTCAAGAACACCAAAAGGAAGGCATAGGTCAGCCAGGATTTCTGAAAAGACACACAGCAATCAGACCAGTGGTTCTCAACCTGTGAGTCCCCAGATGTTTTGGCCTTCAACTCCCAAAAATCCAAATGGTAAACTGGCTGGGATTTCTGGGAGTTGTATGCCAAAACATCTAGGGATCCACAGGTTGAGAACCACTGCCCTAGAGGCACATGTGTTGTGGGCTAAGGATCAGGGAAAACAGCCATTGCTGGCAGCAACCGATCCAAATTACCTAGCCTTTGATTCTGTATCTGTTCCAGCAAGTATCCTCATCTTTGTAAGTGTTTTGCTTTGAGAAGAGATCACCAAAGACTTTGCTTTGCTCAGTCTTGTTCATTTCCTCGTTTTGTTTTGACTTTGTTACTTTAACCTTTGCTGAAGTAAAGTTTTTTTAGTTTCTTTAACCTTGGTTTTAAGACTATTCTTGGGGCAAAACGGGACACGATGATAGGCAAGATGATGCCCTCCCAACTACAACTCACCTAATCCCAGGGGCAGCTCAACCCATTACGCAAAGTAAGCATTTGCAGTATAGTTGATTTTGCTCAGGGGCACTCTTGAGGCACTCTTGGGGGAAAATAGACCTTGACATATGCAAGTTGTAGTTACTGGGATGTATAGTTCACCTACAATCAAAGAGCATTCTGAACTCCACCAATGATGGAATTGAACCAAATATGCCACGCAGAACTCCCATGACCAACAGAATATATATATATATCAGTGATTGGTTGGGGGGGGGGGGGTGCCAAAATACTGTTTGCTTACCATTGAAAATTACCTAGGGCCGCCTCTGCCTAATCCTCAAACATTGGTCAAAATGGCCGTGGCTTGTTGAAGTTTTAGTCCTAAATGTCTGGAGGCATTTAGGTTGCATTCTTCTGATAGGACTAGGATAAAATGAAGAGAAAGTTACAGCAGTGGTTGGAAAACTGTAGCATTCTACAGGTGGCACCGTGGTAGCACTATGGGTTAAACCATTAAGCTGCTGAACTTGCTGACCTGAAGGTTGGCAGTTCAAATCCGTGGGGCTGGGTGAGCTTCCGCTATTAGCCCCAGCTCCTGCCAACCTAGCAGTTCAAAAACATGCAAATGTGAGTAGACCAATAGGTACCACCTCAGCAGGAAGGCAAACAGGCACTCCACACAACCAGGAGGTATCTACGGAGAATGCAGGCTCCTTGACTTGGAAATGGAAATGAATACATTCCCCAGATTGAGAGTTGAGCACCGCCTCCAGAAGCCGGAGATGAAAGGGGAAGCCTGTGCCTTTGTAATTTCTGTTTCATTGTATCAAGGCATTGAATGTTTGCCTGTGTTTGTGTTTGTATACACTGTAATCCACTCTGAGTCCCCTCGGGGAGATAGGGTGGAATATAAATTTATTATTATTATTATTATTATTATTATTATTATTATTATTATTATTATTAGTGTGAAACCGGGATTGTGGCGCAGCTGGCTGAGTGTCAGCTGCATTAAGATCACTCTGACCAAAAGGTCATGAGTTCGAAGCCAACCCGGGGAGGAGTGGGTTTCCAACCAATTGTGTAGCCTGTTGTTGACTTTTGCAACCCGAAAGACAGTTGCATCTGTCAAGTAGGAAAAATAGGTACCACCTTGTGTGGGGAGGCTAAATTAAGTAATTTATGAGGCCATAAAAAAAAGACTTCATCAAAAGCATGCGGGGAATGCAGAAGTACTTCATCAGTGTTGCAGACAGAAGATGAAAGCGACAGCTCCCCTGGCGGCCAGAAAAAGTTAAATAGCCTCTGTTTATGTCTGTATACGTTGCATGTCAAAATTGGCATTGAATGTCTGCCATATATGTGTACACTGTAATCCGCCCTGAGTCCCCTGCGGGGTGAGAAGGGCGGAATATAAATACTGTAAAAAAATAAAAAAATTAAATTATTATTATTATTATTATTATTATTAGAAACACAACAAGATGAGTCCACATCTTGTTGTGTTTCAAATTATTATTATTATTATTATTATTACTATTCCCTCCAAACTACAACTCACTTAATCCTCAAACACTGGTCAGAATGGTTGAAGTTTTAGTCCTAAATGTCTGGAGGCATTCAGGTTGTCTTATTCCTGGGTAAGGTGAAGAGAAAGTTAAAGTAGTGGTCGGAAAACTGTAGCCTTTTATTTTTAGATTTCTCTTTCAGTTGGCTCTCATCTTAATCAATAATATTGTCCTCTTTGTTGACATCTAGGCACTCAAGGGCTCCAAGAAGCTGAACCTCTTAGTCCACTCTGTAGGACGCATCCCCGGCGGCTACATTACCAACCATATCTACACTTGGGTGGACCCCCAGGGTCGGAGCGTGTCCCCCCCAACAGGCCTTCCCCAGCACCAGAGTAACTCCCTGCGGAAAGACGGCGAGAAAAGGAGCCACCTCCAGCTCCTGCAAGAAGGAGACGAGAAGAAGGTGAGCACCACAACGTCTGTGATGATAGGGCATTGTGTAGGAATAGCATGAATAGAATGGAATAACTTTATTGTCATGGTACGTTGTACAGTGAAATTAAATGCCATCCCCAATGCACATTATATATGTAGAATTGCAAAAACAAAACACTCATCCTTCTACATTCGAATCACTATTGCACCACCCCTAATGGCACATCAGTGTGAAACCATAGAGTTCAATATAGTAGTCACAGCTCTGGGATAAAAGTTTTCTCTCAGTCTATTTGTCCTTAATTTATCATCCTATGCCAGTGGTTCTCAACCTTCCTAATGCTGCGACCCCTTAACGCAGTTCCTCATGTTGTGGTGACCCCGCAACCACAACGTTATTTTTGTTGCGACTTCATAATTGTAATTTTGCTAATGTTATGAATCATAATGTAAATATCTGATATGTAGGATGTGTTTTCATTCACTGGACCAAGTTTGGCACAAATACCCAATACGCCCAAATCTGAATACTGGTGGGGTTGGAGGGGGGTTGATTTTGTCATTTGGGAGTTGTAGTTGCTGGGATTTATGGTTCATTTAAATTAAAAGAGCATTCCCAACTCCACCAATGAGACTTGGCACACATAACTCTCATGACCAACAGAAAATACTGGAAGGGTTTGGTGGGCTGTCGTTTGGGAGCTATAGTTCGTCTACATCCATAGAGCACTGTGAACTCAAACAATGATGTATCTGAACTAAATTTGGCATGAATACTCAATATGCCCAAATGTGAACACTGGTGGAGTTTGGGGAAAATAGACCTTGACATTTGGGAGTTGTAGTTGTTGGAATTTATAGTTCACCTGCAATCAAAAAGCATTCTGAAGCCCACCAGTGCATACTGTATGGTAATGCTTCTCAGTCTGTTGTCACTGGTGTCCAACAACTAGAAGTTGCACCTTGTGGACCCAATACTTAGGGATCTTGGGAACTGAATGTCTGGAAAACCTGATCAAGGAATCTGGGTCACTCTCTTCAACAAGTCTACTTAAAGTTTGTCATTTTGGGCAAGTTTGCTCCAGATGCATCATCGGTGGGGTTCAATGTGCTCCCTGGCTACAGGATGAATTACAAGCACCTTCATGGGGGTTCTGTGTGCCAAGTTAGGTCCAGGTCCATCATTGCTGGGGTGCATAGTGCTCTTTGATTGCTGATGAACTATAAATCCCAGTACCCACATCTCCCAAATATCAAGGCCAACTCCCCCCAAAATTTATTTATTTATTTGCAGTATTTATATTCCACCCTTCTCACCCTGCAGGGGACTCAGGGCGGATTACAATGTACATATACATGGCAAACATTCAATACCATAACAACACAACATATATAGACAGACACACAGAGGCTATTTAACATTCCAGCTTCTGGCCACCAGGGGAGCTGTCGCTTCACCGTCCGTTTGTGACACTGGTGAAGTACTTCCTCATTCTTTGTATACTTCCTGGAGATTTTTATGGCCTCATAAATCAGTTAAATTAGCCTCCCCACATATGTGGTACCTAAATTTCCTTCTTGACAGATGCAACTGTCTTTCAGGCTGCAAAGGTGGACAACAAGCTAACAATTTTGGTCAGGAGCTCATTCCGACCCGGGCTAGCTTCGAACTCATAACCTTTCAGTCAGTAGTGATCTTAATGCATCTGACTCCCAGCCAGTTGCGCCACAGTCCCATCAGTATTCAAATTTTGGCACATCGGGTATGTGTGCTAAATTGAAGATCTATCATTGTTTGCCTTCAGCGTGCTCTCTGGATGTAGGTGAACTATAATTCATATAAATTAAGTTGAATTTCCCCAAATCCCTTTGTTGGTCATTGGGGCTCTATGTGCTAAGTTAGGTCCCCACCATCGTTGGTGGTGTCCAGAGTGCTCTTTGATTGCAGGTGAACTAAAAATCCCAGTACCTACAATGGTTATAAATCAAGCTTAATTCCCTCCAAACCTCTTGAGTATTTTTCTTTGGTCATGGGAGTTTTGTGTGGCAAATGTGGTCCAGGTCCATTGTCAGTGCTTGGACTTGATGCAGGGTGAACTACAACTTCCATCATGCGGAGTCAATCCCCCAAACCCCTCCTGAATGTTTCGTTGCTGATTAGTTATGCTCTGTTTGTTGTGCAGACTGAGTTGAAAAGAGTAGGAAAGGGTAGTGGGCGGGATCATGCAAATTCCACACCAATAGAGAGAGTCAGAAACACTGGGATGTCTGTGGTGGAGGAAACACATAAAATCTAGAGTGAAATTGTACCCAAATGAAAGCATTCCTTGGATGGTGAGCAGTATGGTGTTTGAGGAGAACATTGGCAGGGGTTGAGCTTAATGTTCATGGTGCTCACTATAACCAGAAATGTCATTGGAGGGAGGACTTTTGGTGGGTTAAAGCTGTTTGTGAAAGTAGGAGTCTATACAGATACAAGTGGGCACCCCACCCACACACATACATACACATTTTCACTTGTATTATGGATGGCTATAGAATATATAGATATATATCTTATCTTATAAGTCAGATGTTTGTAACTCAGTGACTGCCTGTATATATAAATGTCAGCAATATTTCTTTCCACCGCACTCAGCTGCCATATCTGAAGAAGCTATTGAGCTTTTCAGATCTGCCTTGGGAACAGACTTATTTGCCTGACTCATGCCTTACAATAAAGCAAGCGAGACTCGGAGGAAAATGCAGAAAATGTCATGCTTATGGCCTTCCCAGGAAAGGGCTGATTTTAAAATATACACAGATGTATGGCCGTGCATGCAGCAGACCAGACCGAAACTTTGAGATTGAATTCTGGGGTGCGAAAACAATGTATGACTAATCTTGAGCTAGGCAAAAACTTGGTACATGAAACTCAGAGCACTTGAAAGTAATACCGTGATAATATAAGGCTTCATGTCTATGATCTCATCAGGAAAGTTTACAAAATGCAGGCCCTCACTCAATGAAGTCACAACCCTACATTTGCAAGATCTTAGGTTTTGGTGATAGAGTGACTCAGAGGCCACTCACTGTCACTCAATCTCAACTCAACTGCAAATTAACATCAACAAAGCCAAAACTTCTAGATAGACTTCCATGGTTGAGATCCCCTTCATTAGACCCACCTACAGTACAGTCAGTGAATCAGTTGTTTGAATGGTACATCAAGAATCCATTGGATTGATTGGTTTGATGTGTCGTATTATTATTATTATTATTATTATTATTATTATTATTATTATTATTAACTTTATTTGTACCCCGCTAGCATCTCCCGAAGGACTCGATGCGGCTTACACCAAAGCAGGAACACCTCTGACCTTAAACACCACGCCAGCTTGGTAAAATCAGCAAGCAGTTTATTGAAGATTATATGAAAGCAAAGCAGTAAAAAAACAGCAAAAATAGTAAAGATCCAAAATGAGAAATAGTCCATCGGCTTCAGAGGAAAACCAGATCCTTGAGTATATAAAAATCCATGAAACTAGGCACTTGAATCCATGGAACAAAACAGGAAAATTTCATAGACAAATCTTGAGCTAGGCAAAAACTTGGTACATGAAACTCAGAGCACTTGAAAGCAAGACCATGATAGCATAATAACGTTGACCCAACTAAGGCAACTCTCTCCCATTAATCATTATAAAGCTTTTTCAGATCCCAAAACTGGAAGGAAAGCATTTTTCTGACCTTCCCACCAGATAATGGGTTGTTATCTCTCTTCTGGTGTAGCTGAACTAATCGTTTCCACCTGTGAACACTTTTCTCTTACTAAAACTTTGCTTTCTGTTCAGGCTTTCGTTATTAATTAAGAATGAAACAGAGAAGGAAGAAAGGCCAAAAGGGAAGGAAGATAGGAAGGAAGAAAGGAAGAAGAAGAAAGGGGGAAGGGAAGGAAGGATGGAAGGAGAAAGGGGGAGAAGGGAAGGAGAGAGGAGGGAGGAAAGAGAGAAGGAAGGAAGGATGAAAGGGTGGGAAGGAAGGAAGGAAGGGAAGGAGGAAAGAAAAAGAAAGAAGGAAGGAAGGGTGGATGGAAAGGGAGGGAGGGGAGAGGAAGGAAAGGAAAGAGAAAAGGAAGGAAGGATGAAAGGGAGTGGAAGAGGGAGAAGAGGAGGGAAGGGAGAAAGAGGAAAGACAAAAGGGAGGAAGGAAGAGAATGAGGGAGGGAAAAGAAGGGACGGGTGGAAGGAAAGGATGGAGGGAAAGAGGGAGAAGGAAGAAGGGAGAGAGGAAGAGGAAGGAAGAGAGAAGGAAGGAAAACAAAGGGAAAGAAGGAGGAGAAAGGGGAAAGGGAAGGAAGGGAGGGAAGGAAGAAGAGGGAAGGGAAGGGAAGGAAGGAAAGGGAAGGGAAGGGAAGGAAGGGAAGGGAAGGGAAGGGAAGGGAAGGGAAGGGAAGGGAAGGAAGGAAGGGAAGGGAAGGAAGGAAGGAAGGAAGGAGGGAGGGAGGGGAATAAAGGAAGGAAGGAAGGAGAAGAGAGGAAGGAAGAGAGGAAGGAAGGATGAAGGGTGGAAGGAATGGGAGCGGGAGACAGCCGATGTACTAGATACATTCAAGGAACTGCACAACGTTCGTGAATTAAGGAGAAAGATGGAAGAACAGATGAAGAAAGGGTGGACATGGAGGAAGTGGAGGGATCAATATGGCAGATAAGGAAAGAATAGAGAGAGGCACATTAGTACGGACCGATATAAGTACTTAAGCATGCCCTTGTTGGAAGGGCAAGTTGGAGCATAGTTCGAAAGAAAGAGATGAAAATTAAGGCACTAACACAAGTTCTTGACAGGTAATGAGCACCGGTGTAAGTCATCATGCAAATGTTCTCGCATTGACGGCCTGTCTTTGAGTTACGACAGCTTCAGGTTAGAAGGGTAGATGATGGAAGGTTCTAAGTCAATGTAGGAGTCTCGTCCTTCAGTAGAAGGATACTTGGACTGACGGCAGTCCTGACGCTCAAGTTTGGCAGTGACCGGAGAGAGAAGGAAGGA